AACGTAACATCAACTTACACTGCCACAGTATTAAGGGTAAATTTTATGAAAATTCAAAATCAACGTTCACAATAGACCAATAGGCTTACCAAAAAATTTTTAGGACCAGCAAAAAAATCAACAGCTCATCGATCAATTACGAGGCAATGGACAGGAGCACTTTGTATATGAGAAAACTACTAGATCGCTAAATGTAGAAGATCAAGAAGATCGGATGTACAAACGTCAACGTATGGATGATGAACTCGAGGATTTAATTGAGGTGATTATATTTGCATCGATGTTTAGGAAAAATGAATTCTTATGTAAATTTTGTGGATGTATGTATAGGGCTTGGATTTTGAAGAACCCTTAATCGAATGGGAATTTAATACACCGAAACCAAGTTGGATGGACAGAGTAGTACAGGAACAAGAATCGTTGATTTCCCATGCTTTTAATTGTGATAAAAAAACTCGATATGAGTTATCATTAAAGTAAGTGTTTGATAAACATTGATTTGTTTGTTATTTGTGGTTTCTAGGTTTTAATATTTTTTTTTTAGTCCAATCTGGTGGAGAATTATCGATTTATCTGATCCAACGATCACGACCCTTATGTCGGAAGATGAGTTGTCGGAGCTGAATACAAAGTTTTCATCTCTTTTGGAAAACTGGACCACATTAGAACCCGAGGCAGAAAGATGCTTACATTCTCTCGAAAAGGTGAATGATAAAATCAAATGTTGATTCATCTAAGATCGGCGCTTATTTTATAATAAAATTTGGGGATAAGTTATTCAATAAAACTATATAGTTTGATTTCAAACCATAATAAAAATATATATAAATTTGCCCCACTTTTTATATGTAAATAGTGCCGATTATTCACGGATCATGACTTATGTATTTTAATTCTTTATTTGAAATTTATTAACGCATGCATTGATTCCCAGCTCGACATTGATCAACTTCGCACTATTGGTGAAATAGTTAGACCAAAAGGAACGTACGGAGCAATTCTTGAACTTCAGAAATTATTGGAAAATAAAAAGGAACAAAATGCTTCGGAAGTGGACAATCTGTTTGAGGACGAAAATGATTTCAATAAAGAGGATAATGGAGATCATAAAGAGATTTTATCACTGACTCTTGAAGATCATACAAATCCAGATGTTGCTTTTATTTTTGATTTAATTCGATATACGTAAGTTCAATAATTTAGTAATAAATTACACCTGCAATTTAATAAGCTTTATGTCATATAATTTTGCCCAGATGTGAAATGATCGCAAAAGGAATTACTCAACGACCTAATTCCGAACGAGATATTGACATCTTCATAAAGAGACATATATTCTCTTGTTTCGATACGATTCTAGACAGCCATTTGTAAGTTTTATTGATATTTTTAAAATTTTTATTATTGGCAATAATGCTTACACTTTTTCTTAACTAAGTGGTGAGGCGGTATCAAGAGCATCTAGAAATCGTCGGGCAGAGGTGATAGATGCACCAAGTAATGCCGAGGGTTATCATTTGGATTGGATGTTCACGGTATGGGTATGATAAATCTTTAAAAGCCTTCATTATAAACTATTAGTGTATTTACTAAAGTTAATTATTTACAGAGGCACGATCGTGGTAGGGAATTGTCTGGGGGGAGGCGATTTTCTCGTTGTGCGCGCCCTGGCTCAGAAACGGAGGACAGG